TCTTTCAACCATATTTTGATTGCTAATACGATAAATAAAGATAACAACGCCAACGAAAACTAGTAAAACTCCCTTAATCTTGACCGATCGATTGCTTTTTGAACCCTGCAAATTAGGTGAAAGTACAAGACTCCAAATTTGTGGGTCAAACAGTTTTAAAAACCGTTCTTGGGAGACTAAAATATGAATGGAAGATCCGATTGAATTCAATTGGGTCCATGAATCTAAAAAATATTTTGATTTTTTAATCTCTCTCAGTATCTCTCGTAATTCTAGAATCCAGAACTTGTTTTGCTTAGGTTCCATCTCATACCTCCATAAGATTTTATGCAAAAATTTTAAGTACTTGTTTTATATAATTGACTATTGACTATTTAATGTAAAAATAGAAATGATAAATAGAGTCTTTGTTTAGTATTTCAGATTTCCGAAATTCTTTATTTAAACGACATTTTTTTATGTAATATTTTTTGCTGTAATTCGATATTGAATATTAGATTCTCTATTCCTATCATATCCTATCATATAAAATAAAATATCATTTTTTTTTATTTGCAATTCCAAGATTCATAATTACCATAATTATTATATTTTAATTTTCAATTTTTATAGATGATGGTCTCGTTTAAGCATCCATAGCTAAGTGGTTAAAGCGCCCAACTCATAATTGGCGAAGTCGTAGGTTCAATTCCTACTGGATGCACACTATTAGCACTATTAGTTATTTACACAAAATCTCATTGACCCTCCAATTCTTCTTTTTATGATATTTTTGTTATATTTTAGGATATATATTAGCATAGATCTACTTTGAGCATTTCCTTCATAATCCATATTAAATATCATATAAGATATATGCTCCTAGATAGATTTGTCCATATCAAATATCATAGAAGATATATGTTCCTAGATAGATTTCATGTTGACTATTTCCATTTCATATATCATAATAGATAATTCTAGGATACCGATACATATAGAGAATCTATCTCTATATTAGAGATATAGATAGATTCTATCAACACTCAAAATTAACATTTTTATTTCAACTTAAAATAATACGGAATGAATTAAAATTCGGGATGGAATAAAAGATATAATATTAAAAAAAAGAATTTAGTTATTAAAAAATAATAAATAGACTTTTTTTGAAATCCACGTCATAAACTTTGAGTAGTGCTACGCTTCTGGCAAAGGGTCACATAATGGTAGGCCCTCCCTATTAGAGGACATATAATGCAATGGCTACCGCAGATCATTAGACATTGGCTTACACCTCCAAACAAATAAACTTTAAATCCAAAATAAAAATCATTTATATCATGGGAATACAATTATACAAAACTTATAACCCGAGCGAAACCGTAAACAGCCCAAAATTTGCTCGAAGAAAAAATTTGCTCTCTGGAAAGCATCATTGTGGTAAAGGTCGTAATGCTAGAGGAATCATTACAGCAAGGCATAGGGGGGGGGGTCATAAGCGCCTATACCGTAAAATAGACTTTCGACGGAATGAAAAAGACCTATATGGTAGAATCATAACCATAGAATATGACCCTAATAGAAATGCAAACATTTGTCTAATACATTATAAGACTGGTGAGAAGAAGTATATTTTACATCCGAGAGGGGCTCAAATTGGAGATACCATTGTTTCTGGTACAAATGTTTCAATCAAAATTGGAAATGCCCTACCTTTGACCGAAATCCCCTTAGGCACGACTATACATAACCTAGAAATTACACGTGGAAGGGGTGGACAATTAGCTCGAGCAGCGGGTGCAATGGCGAAACTGATTGCAAAAGAGGGTAAATCAGCTACATTAAAATTACCTTCTGGCGAGGTCCGTTTTATATCCCAAAACTGCTCCGCAACAATAGGACAAGTCGGGAATGTTGGGTTCAACCAAAAAAATTTGGGTAGAGCTGGAGCTAAACGATGGCTAGGTAAGCGTCCTGTAGTCAGAGGAGTAGTTATGAACCCCGTAGACCATCCACACGGGGGCGGTGAGGGTAGAGCTCCTATTGGGAGAAAAAAACCTACAACCCCTTGGGGTTATCCCGCACTTGGAAGAAAAACTAGAAAGAGGAATAAATATAGTGAGAAGCTCATTCTTCGTCACCGCAGTTAATATAATAGTATAATATAGTTAATAGAGTGAATATACTTAATGTAATATATATAGTATAAAAATTAATATAATAGAACAAATTAAATTTATTCATTCAATTATATGAAAAATAAAAAAATAAAAGAATAATAAAATTTATAGGAGTAAACTGTGGCACGTTCACTAAAAAAAAATCCCTTTGTAGCTCATAAATTATTAAAAAAAATTGAGAAACTTAACACAAAGGGAGAAAAAGAAATAATAATAACTTGGTCCCGGGGATCTACTATTATTCCAATAATGATTGGTCATACTATTGCCATTCATAATGGGAAAGAGCATCTCCCTATTTATATAATGGATGATATGGTCGGACACAAATTGGGAGAATTTGCAACTACTTTAAATTTTCGAGGACATGCAAAAAATGATAAGAAATCTCATCGGTAATGTGAATACTAAAAAATATTTTGATGCTTATAAGTCATTAGTAGGAGGCAAATTTTATGTACCAGATGCTAAATAAAAAAACCCCAGAAGTATACGTTTTAGGTCGACGTATAGCTATGTCGGCTAATAAAGCACGAAGAGTTATTGACCAAATTCGTGGGCGTTCCTATGAGGAAACACTTATTATATTAGAACTCATGCCCTATCGTGCCAGTTATCAAATTTTAAAATTGGTTTATTCAGCCGCATCAAATGCTAGTTACACTATGGCTTCAAATAAAGCAAATTTAGTTATTAGTCAAGCTGAAGTTAATGAGGGGACTGCTGGAAAGAAATTAAAACCTCGGGCTCGCGGGCGTAGTTATCCAATAAAAAGACCGACCTGCCATATCACTATTGTACTAAAAGATATTTCATTCAATGATTCTGAATCCGTGGAGCTCGGTTTGCTAAAAAAACCACAAGCGAAAAAAAATTCTAGAACTAAAGCATATTCTGATATCCAGAAAAGGAGGTATTTATGGGACAAAAAATAAATCCACTTGGTTTCAGACTTGGTACAAACCAGGCCCATTATTCACTTTGGTTTTCGCAACCAAAAACGTATGCTGAAAATCTGCAAGAAGATCAAAAGATAAGAGCTTTTATAAAAAATTATGTACAAAAAAATAGAATCAAACCCTCGGGTACCGAGGGAATTGCAGGTATATGTATTAAAAAAAGACTCGATCTAATCCAAGTCATAATCTATATTGGATTTCCCAAAGTATTCATTGAAAATAGCCCGCAGGGAGTTGAAGAATTACAAAAAGCTCTACAAAAAAAATTAAATTTCGTAAACCGAAAACTTAATATTGCTATCACAAAAATTGAAAAACCGTATGGAAATCCTAATATTCTTGCCGAATTTATAGCTGGACAATTAAAGAATAGAGTTTCCTTTCGAAAAGCAATGAAAAAAGCTATTGAATTAGCTGAACAAGCAGATACAAAAGGAATTCAAGTACAAATTGCGGGACGCCTTGACGGAAAGGAAATTGCACGTGTGGAATGGATAAGAGAAGGAAGAATTCCCCGCCAAACTATTCAAGCTAAAATTGATTATTGTTGTTATTCAGTTCGAACTATCTACGGGGTTTTAGGCATAAAAATTTGGATATTTTTTGATCAAGCTCAATAAAATTTTATTCATTCTTTTTACCTGTAATACCGAGCGGCCATTTCACAAATTATTTTGTGTAATGAGCAGGAACAGTTCTAATTGATAATAATGAATTCTATAAGGTTGAATAAAAATTTTATTTATTTTTAATAAAAATATCATTGCTATGCTTAGTGTGCGACTCGTTTATTTTTTAAGGTTAGCATGAAACCAAACCCAAAGTAACAACTACTAACTCGAGAAGAAATTACCTAATAATTAACTCATCAATTTCGCATTATCTGGATCTAAATAACCAGTCACGATATGATTACCGCTCATATCGTTGTAGCAACTGCCATTTATTTGCATAAACGAAAAATAGTATTCAAATATTATTGAAGTTGCGAAGCAAAATATAAAAAAGATGTGGATAATTGGAAGGGAGAGAGAAAGGGAGAAAAAGAAGCTCAATGATTGAAAATTCCAATATGTAGGGTCTAACAAAACAGGCAATGTAATGAAGCATTAATACTTAAATTCTGCATATTAAAGTATTTAAAATAGAATAAGAAATCTAAGAATATTCAATAATAAAAAACAATATACTCTTATTATAGAAATCTATAATCTATATATAAATATTCAATTAGATATTAAATATAGAAGAGATAAAATAAAAAAATAAAGTCAAGAGCTTAAAGCCAATAAAGACTAAGAAAAATGGCTAAAGACTTAAATTATTCATATATTATTACTATTTGAGCTCCATTGTAAAATTAGGACCTAACCATTAAGTAAGAAGTGATGGGGACGACGGAACTTATGAGAATACAAAAGATTCAATTCAATTCAAGATGAAATAAAAAAAAATCTTAAACATTCACTGGCTGGGATGGCGGAATAAACCAATGTTAAATTATTTTATTTCTAGATACTAGCTATAAGATGTCACAAACTCGTCCTAGAAATGAAATCTAAATTGACAGAGTCAATATTCGCCCGCGAAAACTTTTTTCAAAAGAATCAATATTCAATCTAAAGCAATATAAAGAATAGTCAAAAATGAAGGATTAGTTAGACTCAGAGAATCATGAAAAAACTGTAGAATAATTCATTTCAATTCAAATAGATTTAAAAAAAGATCACTCAATCCCTAAATATTATTTTGACTTCTCAGTCCAGACTTTTATTATCTATCTTTAGATTTAGATATCTTCACTATGATTAGTCAATTTGAGTCAAACGCTCATTTTGTAAATACTTTATTCGTAATTCGCGAGGAGCTGGATGAGAAGAAACTCTCACATCCGGTTCTGTAGTAGAGATGGAATAAATAAAAATCCATCAACTATAACCCCAAAAGAACCAGATTCCGTAAACAACATAGAGGAAGAATGAAGGGAATAGCTTCTCGAGGGAATCATATTTGTTTCGGTAAATATGCGCTTCAAGCACTTGAACACCGCTTGGATCACATCTAGACAAATAGAAGCTGGGCGACGGGCTATGACACGAAATGCACGTCGTGGAGGAAAAATATGGGTACGTATATTTCCCGATAAACCAGTTACTGTACGACCCGCAGAAACACGTATGGGTTCAGGAAAAGGATCCCCTGAATATTGGGTTGCTGTTGTTAAACCCGGTCGGATACTTTTTGAAATGGGTGGAGTAACAAAAAATATTGCCAGAAAAGCTATTTCAATAGCAGCATCAAAAATGCCGATACAAACTCAATTCATTATTTCGGAGATAGAATAGACGATATAACTCTAGAACCAACCCAAAGAATCTTAAGAATGAAACAAAAACAAAAAAAAAAGAGGTTTCGTTTTATGTTTGTGGACAAAAAATATTTCTTTTTTTCTTCGCCCTTTGCATTGTGAAAGAAAAGAATAAAAAAAATGCTATGATTCAATCCCAAACCCTTTTAAATGTAGCGGATAACAGCGGGGCTCGAAAATTGATGTGTATTCGAATAATAGGAGCTAGCAATCGTCGATATGCTTATATTGGTGACATTATTGTTGCTGTTATCAAAGAAGCTGTACCTAACATGCCTCTACAAAGATCTGAAGTAGTTAGAGCCGTAATCGTGCGTACCTCTAAAGAACTAAAACGTGGCAACGGGATAATAATACGATATGATGATAATGCCGCAGTTGTTATTGATAAAGAAGGAAATCCAAAAGGGACCAGAATTTTTGGTCCAATCCCCCGGGAGTTAAGACAATTAAATTTTACTAAAATCGTTTCATTAGCTCCTGAGGTATTATAAAAAAAATTAAAAAATGGAGTAGAATCTGTCTCACGTATATAACTTTAAGATTAAAATAAAGTAAGATAAACACAATAATCCATAGACAATAAAAAAAACACGTTGAGAGTAGAAAAATTTTTAGCTCCATAATTAGAGTTCATCATGGGTAGGGACACTATTGCTGAGATAATAACTTCTATACGGAATACTCATAGGGATGGAAAAAGAACAGTTCGAATCCCATCCAGTAATATTAACGAAAAGATTGTAAAACTCCTTTTAAAAGAAGGTTTTATTGAAAGTGTGAGAAATCATCGAGAAAACAACAAAAATTTTTTAGTTTTAACTCTGCAACATATAAACACTAAAAAAAGGACCTTTAGCAATATTCTAAATTTAAAACGGATAAGTCGACCCGGTCTACGAATGTATTCTAAGTCTAAAAAAATACCTAAAATTTTAGGCGGGATGGGGGTTGTAATTCTTTCTACTTCACGTGGTATAATGACAGACCGAGAAGCCCGACTGCAAAGAATCGGGGGGGAGATTTTGTTTTATATATGGTAATATTTTCAAGATGCCAATTAGGTAGAAACTTTCCATTTCTATGATTCCCAAATGGGATATTTTAGAATCTAATGAAATCCCCATTCCTTATTGCTTCTAGGTCACTGAAATAAAGAATAAAGTCCTTCGGATGAAAGAACAAAAATCACTTTCCTTTTTTCAAGAATTTTTTTATTAAGGAATCCTTTTCAAATAGTATGTTCTGGTTTTCTTTTTTATTGATTTAGATAATCAACTAATAAAGTAATAAAGATTGGATTATAAGTTCTTTTTGTGAAAATAGGCTAAATTCATTTTTAGTTTAGACGGATAACTTCAGAACAAGTCGATGAAGCTTTTGCAACACAACAATGATTCAAAGGAGTCATTTTTAAACTTAGCTATCTCTTTGGCAAAAATAACAAAATTAGAAATTGAAAATAAAAAAAAAAATGAATGTTTTTATTATAATCTTCCAATCAAACCGAAACTCTAAAGTAAATTTAAAAGAAATGTAAGGAGTCTGAATATGAAAATAAGAGCTTCTGTTCGTAAAATTTGTGACAGATGTCGATTAATACGGAGAAGGGGACGACTTATAGTAATTTGTTCCAATCCCAGACATAAACAACGACAGGGATAATAAGACTTCGCAACTTAACTTAGTAACTAAACCAATTATAGAAATGAAAGAATCGTGAAATGGATATATCCATATAGTATATCGCTGACTCAGATTTACAAAATGCTTAATGGTAAAATATATATCGAGAATTAGTTCGCGTAGGAAGGGGGGGACGTATTGGTTCACGTCAGAATGCACGTAGAATACCAAAAGGAGTAATTCATGTTCAAGCCAGTTTCCATAATACCATAGTGACTGTTACAGATGTACAGGGACGGGTAGTTTCTTGGTCCTCTGCCGGTACTTCTGGATTCAAAGGAACCAGAAGAGGAACACCTTTCGCTGCTCAAACCGCGGTAATAAATGCTCTTCGTAAAGTAGTGAATCGAGGTATGCTACGAGCCGAAGTATTTATAAAAGGTCCCGGTCTCGGAAGAGATGCAGTATTACGAGCTATTCATAGAAGCGGTATATTATTAACTTTTATAAGGGATGTAACCCCTATGCCACACAATGGCTGTAGACCCCCCAAAAAACGACGTGTGTAGAAATCAAAAGTGAACCTATATCAAGAGAAATAGAAGATTCACTAATATACTAAATCAAAATTTTTATGGTTCGAGAGAAAGTAGCAGTATCTACTCGGACACTACAGTGGAAATGTGTTGAATCAAGAATAGACAGTAAACGCCTTTTTTATGGCCGCTTTATTCTATCTCCACTTATAAAAGGTCAAGCCGATACAATAGGAATTGCGATGCGAAGAGCTTTGCTGGGAGAAATAGAAGGGACATGTATCACACGTGTAAAATCTGAGAAAGCCTCGCATGAGTATTCTACCATAGGGGGGATTCAAGAATCGGTACATGAGATTTTAATGAATTTGAAAGAAATTGTATTGAGGAGCAATCTATATGAAAGTTGTGATGCGTCTATTTGTATCAAGGGACCTCGACATGTAACTGCCCAAGATATAATATTACCCCCCCATGTACAAATTGTTGATAACACACAACATATAGCTTGGTTGACGGAACCTATTGATTTTTTTATTGGATTAAAAATAGAGAGAAATCGCGGATATTTCAACAAAGTGGACCTTCACTTTGACGATGGAAGTTATCCTATAGATGCTCTCTTCATGCCGGTTCAAAATGCAAATCATAGTATTCATTCTTATGGGAATGAAAAACAAGAGATACTTTTTTTGGAAATATGGACAAATGGAAGTTTAACACCAAAAGAAGCACTTCATGAATCCGCCCGAATATTGATTGATTTCTTTATTCCTTTTTTCCAGATGGAAGAAGAAAACTTATATTTAGCAGATGCAAAACACACAATTCCCCTACCCCCCCTTATCTTTTATAATAAAGTGACTACACTTATAAAAAAAAAAAAGAAACTTTCATTGAAATTAATTTTTATTGACCAATTAGAATTCCCTCCCAAGATATATAATTGCTTGAAAAAGTCAAATATATTTACATTATTTGATCTTTTTAATCAAAAACAAGAAGATCTTTTAAAAATAGAACATTTTCAACTAGAAGATATAAAACATATATTGGGGATTCTAGGAAAATATTTTGCACTGTATTGATTATAAACTTAGGTTTAATTAATAAAAAAAATAAATTGAAACATTCATGAATATGAATTGACGTGTATCTAGGAAGAACTTTCAAGAAACGCTTCCCTAGATACACAAGCTTTGGTTTTTTTTAAATTGAATCAAAACTCCACAAAACAAATTTAAAAAAGACCTAAAGTGAGGGATTTTTCAATAGGTAATGTTGCACCAATGCCCAACCAAAAGGTAACTCCGGTACCAATAAAAAACACAGTGGTTGCTACTGGACGACGAAATGGGTTTTGGAATTTATTAACATTCTCTAAAAAAGGTACTGTTAATAATCCCGTAGGTACTGAAAGCATTAAAAGAACACCTAATATTTTATTAGGCACTGTACGAAGTATTTGAAATACAGGAAAGAAATACCATTCAGGTAATATTTCTAACGGGGTTGCAAAGGGATTTGCGGGTTCACCAATCATTGAGGGTTCTAGAACTGCTAAACCTACATTACATGCAATAGTACCAAGAATAACTACTGGAAAAATATATAAAAGATCATTGGGCCATGCGGGTTCCCCGTAATAATTATGACCCATACCTTTTGCCAATTTAGCTCTTAATACAGGATCATTCAAGTCAGGTTTTTTTATTATTGGGATAGGTGAAGTCTTAGAGATCCATCCCCCGAGGGAACCGGACATGATCATTTTTAATCATCCAGCTCGAGCAAGACTCAAACAAATAATTAAAAAAGAATTAATCATTATATGAATGAACAAATACATTTCTAAAGCTAGGTAGTTTATAGGTTATCTTAGAGTCGTTAAGAGTCTTTATATTCATTTATACACAAAAGATAATCTATGATATAGAAATAGTTCAATGTAAAAGAAAAAATTTGTTTTTATCAAGTGAACCTTCTCTAGTCAAAAAATTAAATTTCTTTTCTTATTTGCTTACGCGTCAATACTCAAGACCCAAGTAGGCTTAATTTTCTGATAGGATCAAGTGCTTTTTGGGTCGTCTCCAACCTTAGAATGCGTATTTATCTGAAACTATTTTCAAAAAGTTTTCATATTTTAAGATACGCAGAAAGGTTTACTTGTTACTAAAAAAAAGTCCAGTTTCTTTTCTTCGTTAGATCTCTTGTTTCACTCCGATAGTATTATCGAGATCGGACCAATGGAGAGGAAATGACTCCATTTACAGATTCTATATTAGCGTTTAAAATGTTAAATAAAAATAAAAAGTTTCTAGGATCTTTTTATATTCAATATTGGATTTTACGGAGCCTAATCATGTATAACATGATTTTTATATGATCATAGAATAAATTATCTTCAAGGGAACCAGCTTATCCCTCACATAAGGCTTATGCGCCAATTGGAACAAAGACACATTTGGGTGGTGATAATTCAAATGTGGTAGGCTTATATCTACATGGACCAATCAATAGTTCAGGTCGCACACTCCCATAATCCATTTTATCGTAAAATTGATCTTCAACTTCAAAGAATTCCCCTCGCCTATTTGTGTATTCATGTAAAAAAAAAAGAATATAGGAAGGGTGAAGATAAATATAAAAAACCATTTCTTATTCTTTTAAAGAATGGATTTTTTTTAGCAATGAAATACTATTACCCCTCCTCCAAGTGAGAAATAACATATCTTACAAATTTTTTTTATTTAGGATCTCTTTTTATTTCTATTTTGATTTATAAAGGACCAGAAATACCCTGTTTACGTATCATTGAAAAGTGCATTAA